AAAAAAAAAATGGTTTATATTTATTTTTAATACAAAAAAAAATATATTATAAGATTTATAAGTTTAAAAGCAAAATTGACTGTTTTTCAAGTAAGATCCACTAAAAGTTAATGAATATGTTCTAGTTTTTTTATTGATAAACTAATAGTCACAAACTTAACGAACAATCGTATAAAAAAAATCTTAAAAAAATATAATAAAGTTACACAACTTGCTTATCAATAAAGTAAAAAAAGTGTGAAATTACATATGAAAATCACTTGGCAAAATGATTGGCACTATATATAACACCATTTGCTACTTAAAATTGGAAAAATATGCTGCAATTGATATTGCGAAAAAATTCTTGGATAATTATTATTATATTTATGTTGATTTATATCTAAAAGGCAATATCAAATTAAGAGTCTTTTCGATTTATATTCATGCTATTAAATCTAAAGAAAGGAGAGTCTTACAATCAACATTATTATGATTTATAGATAATAGTTTACACTCTAGTTTTCACGTTATCATTATAAAGTCAAAATAGATCATTTTGAATATCCAAAATGGTCGAAATGGTCAAAATAAAAAGAGATCAAATAATAAATCAGTTATTCATTTAATAAAATTAATAAAATTTTCAATTTAATCAAAAAAGATTTATTATTATTATATTATAATATAAAACTAAAAACTAAAATATTACATTAATCTTTTTTATATTTTAATTCTAATTTCTTCACCTTTAAATTATATTTCATTTTCATTCTTTCCTTTTCACATTCTTTTTCATATGCCAATCTTTCTTGTTCAATTTTTAATTATTCCTTTTTTAACTCATAACTTTTATCTAATTTTTCTTTTTTTAACATCATTTTTTCCTTTCAAATTTTTTTACGTGTTTGACTTATTTCAGCTATTGCTGTGATTATAACTTCAACATTATTTTTGTTCTTTTGTTTTTATTAACCTTTGGACAATTCAATTGCTTTTTTACAAAGTTTTTCATCTTAGTTTCAATTTTCTTCTCAATCATAATATCTGTTGACTTATTAGCCAAAAATGAAGATGATATATTTTCACGTATTCCAAAAATTATATCTAGCTTATTATACTATTCCCAATCTTTTTGTTCTATTTCAGATTGATTATTATGCTTCTTAACATTTTTATATTTTTTTATTAAGCATGCAAGTTTACCCTAAATAATTTAAAAAAAATTAAAGAATAAGATATTTGCTTATAAAAAAGCAAAATAAAAAACTTACTCTTTATTGCAATTGCTTCTTTATTTGGCAAAATGGAAGCTTTACAATAGAAAGGGAGGAAACTTTAAAAAAATTAAAATTTTACTTTTTAAGCTAATTATGATTTTTTTTTGTAAAATAAGTCCAGATTTAACATTAACTCAAAATAAAATTTTTTTAAAGTTTCCTCCCTTTCTATTGCAAAGCTTCCAAATATTCTTTGCCATGTCATTATAAAATTTAGTTTTATTCCCTTTAGACCAAGACGTAAAATTTTCTTGAAGATAATTAAATAAGATCTCAATTTCACTATTTTTTTCAACCAGATTTTTTATCGGGATCTTGATCTTTATCATCATTATCTTTTTTCTTAACATGAGATTATTTAGAAATACAGGTCTTTTTAGACTGAAAAATTTTATCATTTTCTCTAAACTAAATAAATTTTAATAAATATTTTATATTTACAGTTAAAATATACATTATAAAACTTATCAAATAAGTTTCATCATAATTTTCATTTAATTCAATTAAAGTGAAAGACAAATTATACAATTGAAGATCGTATTGCTGTTAAAAAATATATGGCTCTTGAAGAGGATGATGTTGAAAAGAAAAGACATGTTGCTGTTGCTTTTGAAGCTAGTATCGCTGTTGTTGAAAAAGTTCAGAAAGTTGCTGTTGAGGTTGAAGAAGAAAATTTTATAATTGTGATTTAGTAAGAACTGGTTTAGGTAAAATAAATTATGAAGTAAGTGAAGTTAAATATGTTTTTTTTGAGTTTCAGCTTCATAAGAAAAAGCAGAAGAGTTAGGACGTTTAGTTGAAGTTTTTTCATTAAATTATAATTGGTTCATATTTAATAAGATTCTTTTAAAAGTATGTTAAACCATATTTTTTACTTGTTATTACAGCAATCGGGCAGTAGAAAAAATTTGATCTAAAAGTTCTACCTTTTTTTTTATTCACAAAGTTTAGATTGTTGATCAAGTTATACGATTTGCCAGCCAATAATTATCAACTCAAAACCCGATAAAAATCTGAACAATCAGAAATGAACTGGTTTAATATTATATAAAATAGTAATATATTACAATATAACGGATTTTATTGTGATTAGCCAATTTGTGCAAATCATTTTTATTATTACTAAAATTCTATTGGCTGTTAAATCACATGATTTCACATTAATCAAATAAAAATTAATCAATAAAAAAAAGTATTAATAAAAAAAATAGATAATCAAAAAATAGTTAATATGATATTAGCCCAAATAAGAAAGATATTTAATAAAGAAAATTTTTTTATTATTCATTTATAAAAATACATTGAACTATTGAACTAAAACTATTATTTATATCTTTTCACTTATACTTCATAAATAATGCATAATAATATTTTTCCAAATTATACATTCTTTAAAACATTCATAACTCCTTTAAAAAGTAGATTTATATTATTATTTAATGAAAGATCTTTGATGCTAATATTAGTATCATCAATAGATTCAGTAATATTCAACATATTTTTACCCTCATCTGTAGCCTAGTATTAGCAATAAATATATTCACTGATATAACAATTGACAATAAATACTTTTCCATTGTGTTCATTACATTGTCCATTGTGTCTATTATGATTGACGTATTACAAATCTCAATTAAATTTAATGGAAAGAGTTAGAATATAAAAGGATCCAAAATCATATGATTATCAATTAAATCTCATTTCAAAGCATAATAACACATGCAGGAAGAAAAGTGCTGCATCTATTAACTTTATGATTTGAAGTATTTTACAATGAAAAAGCAAATAAAAATAATAAGAAAGCTTTTTGTTTATCTTGTATTAGATATATAGGACAAAACTTCTTATTAAAAGATAAAAATAATAAAATTATAAATACTTAACATTATTATTACAAATATTTTCAAACTTGTCAAAATTTTTTGACTAAGAATGAACTAAACGAAGTTAATAGAATTTTAGCATTATCAAAATTTAATATAATAACAACAAATAAGAAATGTCATTTATTGGTAATTTTAAATTAAAATTTTATTTAATTAATGTTAAATAAATTAATTTAATTTATTTATTTATTTTAATTAGAAATTAATGACGAACCTGAAATTTTAAATGAAAACTATATTGTCAGCTAAAAAATTACAATACAATTAAATCTAAATTACATAATATATTAGAAGATTATTAATTACAACAGAAATTCCAATATTTGAAAAAATTAATTTGTATGACTGTATCTAATGGATTTCCTTTTTGTTGATTTGATAATTATGAACCTGAGATCTTTTTAAGTTTATTTCACCTCTTTTAGTATTACCTGATCATCATATTCTTGCTGGTCAGATTTTAAATGCAACAACTAATGATATTCAATCAAATATCCAAAGTATTACTCCAAATGATAAAATTGAAGTAACTATAACTTTTGATGGTTGAAAAATGTAGTAGAATAAGAGATTATGAGTGTTGTTTTAATTACTTCAAATGGCTCTGTTCTTGTATGGGATGCAGAAAATATAAGTGAAAAATGTCAATACGCAGAAAAAGTAATTAAACGAATAGAATTACTTATTGAAAAAGCAACGCAAAATATTCAAATAAATGTATTAGTAACAGATTCTGCTAGAGGTTATGCATCTGCTAGGTATCTTATAAATTTTTATTAAAACAAATTTAATTTTTTTTTATAAATTTTAATTAAATGTTATTATTAATAAGTGTCAAAAATAAAACTTATTCATCATGAAATAGTATTTTTACCATGTTTTGCATATCAAGCAAATTGTTATGTTAAAAAAATTTTAAAGAATCTCAAATATTTAAAACTACTTCTAATTGAGTCATCTGACTTATTGGTTTTTTTATTTATCAGTTTATTTTAATCAAAAGTTTTATGATGAACAATTAAAGCTTATAAAAAATTTATTACTCTTACAAGTCCATATTCAACACGTTGGAATAGTTATTTTAATGCTTTTAATTCTTTTTTAAAAACAAAAGATGCACTTATCGTAGATTATCATTTATTTATTAATATTTTTTATTTTTAAAATAATTTATTAATTATAAATATTTTTTAGACATTAGTAATAATTAATTTTCATGCTAATGAAGAAGAACTTTATTTACCATCTGATATTTCTACTTTTATTAATAATATTACTTTTTGGACAAATTTAGAAAACTTACAACTCTTTTATATTCTTATTGTGAAATTTTAAATATTATGCAACAAGATAAGGCACTTCTTTATCAAGTAATACTTTCTTTTAGTTATATTATGAATATAATAAAATAACAAACACTAACTTATTTTTGTAATCAAATGGTTAAATGTCTTAAATTACGTTAGACTGGCTGGAAACAACTATTATTAATACTTTCTTTAGCTCTTCATCCAAAATATCGATTAGAAATGTTTTCATCTACTAATAAAAACTTAACATATTCACATATTAGTCATTGGTTAACATATTATTACAAATCTTGGTTTAAAAAAGATTCAACAACTATTCTTCAAGAACTTGAAAAATTTAAAA